CACTTTCGGCCATATTTCATGCATGCACATTCTCTCTTGAAACAGGTTATAAAGATAAAAAGGGCTATGACTGTAACATTTATTATTCCAAGTATCCATTACTGAATGCTTTCTCTTTTTCAAGCACTGTCCTCATCACTGCAAATATGGCATTTTTAAGAAATGCAAAAATCCCTGCTATATTACACGCTATATCCTAGAGTATACGGACAATACAAACAATAAACACAAATACCAGAAAATATTTTACATCAGAGTGGTAAGTGCTATGAGAATAATGAATAGTGAAAGAGAACACAGAATGCTGGACAAGGCAGAAGGGTATATGCAATTTTTAAAAAAGGGTAGCCAGCATCTTATTCATAATCCAATTTAAAAAATTCCATCAGTGAGAGAGACAGAGAGAGAGAGAGAGAGACAGAGTTCCAACACTTTCAACAGAGTCCTGATGCTACAATCCACGCTACCCCAGCCTTACCCAGCATCTTCAGGTAGGTCTCTAGCCATGAACCAGCAATTGTGCCATGTGGTTCTGCCTCACAGAATGTTGTGTTTTATCACTACAGGACCATCAGGCCACTAACAATTTCAACATTTAACCAAAGATCTCAAGTTGGTGAGGGAGACTGGCATGAGGACACCTAGGGAAACACAGTCCAGGAAGCAGCAGTGACAAGGGCAGAAGCTCCGCAGCAGAAGCTTACCTGGTATGGAAGGCACTAGGAGCCAATGGGCTGGAGTGGATAAGGGAAGGGGGGGGTAGATAAACAGAGCCCTATCTGGGAATAAGTGGGAAATGGGGAGCTAATGCAGGACTGGGGGCAGTGGAATGCCACACTTTGACATGTGTTCTGAAAGGGTCACTAGGGCTATTGGTCAAGTCTATACTTGCTAAATGGATGTAAAAATGGAAGCAAGGGTTCAGCCTGGATGCTAAAGAGCTGGAAGTCATCATGCCTATATCTACAAGAAAAAGCTAAACAAACTGAAAGTCAGAGATTTGTCTTGGCACCTTCAGTGAACAGAGGCCACACGGTCAACTGCTTCCCTGAAATCTGGAAAAAGACAAATTCACAGAGTTGCAGAAGAGGTATGCTTATCTGGCACAGAAGCTGCTGGAGACAGAAAGTGTTCAGAACAGTTAACTGGTCTTGTGGACGAGTTGCTGGAGGATGCACATGGAACTGCTTGAGGGAAGAAACGCTTAGGGCCAAAGTCTGAAGTCTTACAGGACATTTAAGCTTTCATGGATTTTGCCTTTCCAGATTCTCAATGAAGAGTTAAGAAAGATGCTCTCCTGGCATTGGAAGATGGGAGAGAACGAATAAATCTTAGGAAAGGCACTCAGAGCAATCTCCTTAACAAAGGCCTGCACTTCCAAGGAAAGCCTTTAGAGAAACTTAACCCAGAGGTGTGGGAAAGGGTGCTGCTCTCATGGAAGTCCCATCTATGCTCTCCTATCTCAACTGGAGTGGGACACAGGCAAGGTAAAAAACATTTATGAAGGTCATAGCCTAGAGGGGCTGAGATTTAATCAGAGTGACCGAACACTTCCCCTCCCTCACACAAACAGGGCTTCAGTGGAAGCCAGCTGAAAGAGATGGAAAACAAGCTCTATCAGGGTTATTAGGAAAGCCCAAAGACTGTAGGGGAGATCAAAAAGAGAACAGCAGAAGAATGTGACACCTCTCGCACCTAGGGCTCTAGAAAACATTAAATACAGTTTAACTTCTAAATCGATAAACACAAAACGTCCCACTAAAGTCTGCCTACCTCTGCATTACCCAATATATCAAGCCTGACTTGAAACAAAACATTCCAAGTAATGCTAAAAGGAAGGAAACAAAAAAGCTGGAAGATCACATAAGAGTCAGTGAAGAATATTCCAGACAGAAGACGATTGTGGCTGGGGTGAGGGTGGTAGCAGTGGAGAAGGCTAAAAAGACCTAGTTCTGTATGTATTTTTGAAGACAGAGCAGAGAGGATTTGCTGATAGAGTGGATGTGAAACATGAAAGGAAAAGAGGAGAAGCATGGATGACTCCCAGGTTGTTGGCCAAAGCTCCTGGAAAAATGGAGATGTCATCAGCTGAGATGGCAAAGCCTGCTAGTAAAGCAGCTGTTGGGACAGAGGGGACCCCAGGCTCCAGAAAATCAGAATCTGATGTCTCAAATGACCTACAAGGCTAGACAGTGATGCATTCATTTAATATTTTGGAGTGCCTACATACTATAGAGTACACTCAAATATTAGGAAAGAGACAGGGAAATAGGTTGGAAACCAAGAAAATACTCAGTAATTGTTTTACTGAGTGAATGGATAAAGAAACAACGCAACACTTAAATGTTAACAGCAAAAAAGAAAAATCATCTTCAGAATCAGTATCTGTTGGCACCAATAGTAGCAAAACCAGGAAAACACCTTAGAATGTACAAAATGCTCTCACTTACTTTGGAATACATACTGCTAGTTTTACTATAGAATCTGAGTACCTGCCCTCCTTTTCGTCCATAGCAGTAAGACTTGACTGGGTATTTGGCTTTCCAGAATAAAGATGTTTCCCAGCCTTCTTTGTTCTTAGGTGTGGCCAACAGTCCATGAGCAAACATGGCATGTGATTCCTGCTAGCTTAGAGAAAATGGGTACACCCACTATTTGCCCTTTGCTCCCCCTTCCTGTCAGCTGAAGTGTTGATGTGATAACGACCATCTTGGACCATAGGAACATGGTGACACCACCAAGATGGCAAGGGAACAAAAAAGAAAGAGCATAAATATCGAAAACCCATGGCGCCATCTTATCAGCCCTGTGCTGCAAACACTTTGGTTGTTACATGAAAGAATAAAGCTCTATCTCATTTCAGCTACTGTTATCTTGGTTCTTTGTTACAGTAGCTTAGTCTGAAACTTAACCAACAAATTTAATAAATCCTCAGAACAACACTGTGATGCAATTAATATGCTGGAGCTTTTTCACTTTGTTTTAATTCCTTGCCCTGTATCTGTTTTACACATCAGGAAAACGAATTGGCAACATAACCTTGTTCTTTATAGTGCTTCTATCTCCCAGTGAAGAAAAACTGGTTGAAAAATATTCTGGGAAACCTAATCACAACAACTTCTACAGTTAAGATTTGGGCTCAGGCATTCAATAAAACTGCAATACTCACTACCTAGAAAAGCCACATGGTAATAATTTTTCAAAGAGAATTGAGAAATTATATGCTATGCAGTAGCTCAACTTTAATGCTTCCAATTCCCATTAAAGTCCCTGCAATGTATTAGCATTACAAGTACCAATAATTAATTCCTCGGCTTGAAGAAATGTGTAGCTGCTCACTGAACTCTTGACTTAATTTGTGTTATTCAGACAAAGACGAACAAGTTGCTTCTGGGGCATCTAGGTCTTTGGACCTATGTCCTGATATATATTAGGAAGGCATTTTTTCATACATGTGGAATACTTTCACACCTTTAGTATTGGAAATCTGGTACAGGAATGTGTCAGTGAGTAGAAAAAGCCAAGTTTAAATGCAGCACAAGCAAACATAATTTAAAGAATAAATTGTTCAAAAACGACGTCAGAAGAACAAGAAGACTATGGACATTATTTACTGTGATATATTTCTGTTGTAAACATGCACACAGGTTTATTAAACTGTGCTCTGGCTTCCATCACAATGAATTGCTGAAATCAGAATAATCCGTTGCAACCATTTTTGACTATTCACTTCAAAAGGAAACTATTTTCTCCCCTGGCTAGTGAGTCTGTGACTTGCTAAAATAATTTCCTTAATCTAAAGTAGTAAAGAAAGGTATAATACATCTTCTTATGGTAGTGTGAAAAGTTTATTTCCCTGACTTCAGAACTTAAATAAGTTCTTAAAGAAGAATGTGCTAACTGCTTGGCTTCTTCAGCTTCTTTGAGATGAAGAAACCTGAAAGTGGGTACACAGACATCGAGAGACATTATTCTGAGATTTGGCAGTAGACTTCTCTCCAAATCTTGTCAAGGTATCAGTGTAAGTCTTGTGGTATTTTCTCAGGCGATGCTTGGAAAATACATGAGCTAAAGTGTACTTAAGTGGGATCACCTCACTTTTATTACATGATGAAAGAGATGCCCATATCACTCTTTTTAAATGTGGAAACCAAGTGTTTTATAGATTCCTTTCATAAGCAGTATTTTTATACAACAGGAGCTCTGATTCTTCTAGATAAACAGTCAAGAACATAGGAAAGTGTTTCCCAATTCCAACTATGGGATGCTGGATGTCTCTAAATTGTTTTTTCTCACATATGTTTAAAAAACAAAACCAGAAACAATGAAAAATATGGATATTGAATAAAAGTATCTTTTCTCAGGACCAGCAGATGACACAATGGTTACACTGCTGAACTCCCACATAGTTGATCATGGTTCGAGTCCCAGACCCAGTGCTTAAAACTTACAGCAGGCACATATGCATGCCCAAAATCCAGAGAGGAGAACGGAAGAGAAGGGACTGCAGCATGGCCATCCCCGTTGGTGGAGGCAGGGGTGATTTCTTGCTTTCTACTCTCTGTCTCCGTCTCTCCAGTGAGCACACATGCCGTATGGCAAAAATCTCTTTAAAAAAAAAAAAAATTTCTCTCTTTATACTGTGAGGTTTATTTTTTTGTTTTTTTCTTTAATTTACCAGAGAGCATATGTGCTTAAAAGAGCAGAGAGCAAGAGAGAGAGAAGAAAACACCTCCCATGAAGGATGATCATGCCACAATCCCTTCTTCATCTGTCCCTTCTTTCCGGGTTTTAGGCACACATGCACACATGTCTGGTACAGTTTTCAAGTTGCCCTGCCCAGGACTGGAACTACATGGTAGGTCATGTGAGATCTAGCCACTGTAACCTCTAAGCTACAATGGGCTAGCTCAATACTGTGCTTTAAGACAAGACATAAAGACACTACAAAGGCTGGAAGTGTAAAGTATCCAGGGAAGAGTGAAAAAATAAAACATTACCTTTAGCTGGATTTACTTTTATCCCTGACCTATACAGCATTTCTTCATTCTGCCAGTCTCCATTCCTGATGGCAGTCTTGAGTCCATAGAAAACAATTAATGTAGCTGTCGCATAAAAAATCAAGCTCTTGAGAAATCGCTTTTGAACTTTGATATAAAGGGCTCTGGCACCCACTGTAATCAGGAGGCAGAAGCCCATACTTGGAATATATAATACTCGCTCTGCAATGACAAAGCCAACATAGAAAAAGAGGTTCGTGGCAGGAACAAAGGGTATTATTAACAAAGATAAAGACAGAACGACAATGTTCTCTGTAGAAGGAAGTTGTGTCCTCTGCACTGCATTATTGTTAATGCCATTTTCTACTTTGGATGCGAAGTTGGGCTTAATCTCTGAGTTCCGGTACTCCACATCTGAATGGCAGCTATGGCCATTTGCATTCTGCTTGCCATTTGTTACAGCTTTCCCATTGCATTCTCTTTCTATGCTTGGGCTCTTCAAACCATGGAAAGCAAGGAGGAGGAGTCCAGTATAGAAGGCCACAGTGTGTAGGTTTCTCCAATCACAAACTGTTTTGAGCAGAGGCACGGCATCCATGGACCAGTCAAAACTGAGGGTATCCGGGCATAGCAACAACCAGAGGTTCTTGGTTGGCAAGTAAAAGAAGGTGAGCGTGCGAGCCAAGAGGCTATCTGAATCAGCAGCCGGGTTGTCCGAGTTGGAAAAGCTTGGCGGCTTGTTCCCCATCCAATATAGGCGGGCACCCAAAAGAGAGGTCCCCCAGAAAGATAACAAACTAATGCTGAGGAACAGAGACACGTTCTTCCTCTGAAACCAAAAGAAAGAGAAAATGTTAAGATCATCCTTGATGCAGAAGACAAACACTTCACTTAACATTTAGAGAGGAAATACTTTTGTTTTAAAATCATGATTTCATATATTAGAAGTATATCTCTGTGGGCCATGAATGGATTTGAAGGCATGTATACAGCACCTACTAATCATACAGGATATACTTGTGTTGATCTTCTTGAACATTGAAGGTTCTATTATGCCATTTGTTAATAGTTCTAGTTTTATAAAGATACTCATTATATTGTCCATATTTTTATTCTTATGCAATATACAAGCCCATAGCCTCTTCTCCATATTTACATGTATTCTTGTGTTCACTGTAAATACTCACATGTACTGTCCCATTTTTAAATAATTTGTTTTACGTGTATTATTAAAATTTACAATAGGGTTTGTGTGCTCACCAGAGATATGTGTGTTGTGGGGGGAGGTAAGGGAGCAAGCTGCCAGGTCCAGGACTCTAACTGTGGTCAGCCATATGGGAGTCCAGCATCTTAATCAGCATACCAGTGGACCAAACTCTCTCAAATGGGTAGACAGAAACACAGCAATGGGTCTCAAATATTAGGTTGTTGGGAAAGTCATCATGTTTATTTTCTATGCAAAAATGCATCATGACTTTTCCAATAACCTAATACATTACTTCACTTCCATCTTGTTTTAAACATGCTTAGGAATATTTTAACCTTAAAGGAAAAAAAAAAAAAAACCACCTGATTTAGAATTCAATCAAGCTTGTGTTTTTTTCCCTCTTAAACGCAGGGTCTCACTATGCTACTCGTTCTAGCCTCAAATTCACGATCCCCCTGCCTTAGGCTACTGAGCAGCAAGGACTAAAGGTGCAGACCACCTCTCTCAGTTATATATATAACTTCTAATGAGTACAATTTCTCCTTTTTCTACTCTAACATACCAATAACCAAAGCTTCATTTTTTAACCTCTACAAAATGGGCTCAATATATTTCCCTCTCAAAACTGGAATCAAGGGAACCAGCAGTTAGCGTAATGGCTATGTCGCTGGACTCCCACGTAGTCGACCGCGGTTCGTGTCCCGGACCCGGTGACTTAAAACTCACACCGGGCACGTGTGCGTGTGTGCCCAAGATCCCGAGAGGAGAATGGAGGAGAAGGGATTGCGGCGTGACCAGCCCCCTGGGGGGTGATTTCTCGCTTTCTGTCTCTATGTCTCTCTCTGTCTGTCTGGCGAGCGCACACGCCCTACAGTGAAAATCTCTCCAAAAAAAAAAAAAACAAACTGGAATCAATTCAAAATGAGACCACAATGCAAAAGTACTTCATATTCTGCATGAGATACACTAGGCTCCTAATAACTATCTTTCTTTTATAACTTTGATTTTGTGGGAAAAAAATAAAGAGCATTCATGTAAGAAATGTGGGGTGACAGGACTCCCTGATCAGTGCTAAGGTAGTAAGGGCACTTAGCTATGTCCACACCAGTCCTTCCTTCCATGCTTTTGAGTCTCCTTGGAGACTTTCTAAATCAAGCTTTCCGCTGCAGCCCCATGCTGTCACTGACATCAGACATCCAACATCTCACAATGCTGCTCTGGCCCAGCCACAGTGGCACAGGACAGCATGACGTTCTGCAAGACTATAAGCCATTCACAGGCACTCCACACTTAACAACCGAGTTCATGCCTATGACCAGGTCATTAAGCGAATTTCTAAGTGAGGAGCTTATAGGCAGATGTGCTGTGGTGTGTCACGCTGCCGTAAGGTGTGTATTTTTTTTTTCAATAAAGATCACATGATACCACTCTAGAATAATGTAACTCTATCCACTCAAAAAAGTATACATGAAGTAAGAACCAGTTCAAGACACACCACAAGACAATAATTCCAACATAATCCTTTTTATTTATTCTGAAAGCTACTATGAGTGGACAATGAAGTACAGATTTATAAATGATACACATGGTCTTGCATGATTCCAAACATTTTGTGTAGTGAATACCAATCAACAACAGCAATGAGACAAAGACAGAAAAAGTGGATTCCCGAAACTCACACTGACTGAGCAAAGGGATTCCCCTTGTTGGAGATCTGAATTAAGTCTGAGTGGTTGTTAAACAGATAGATTGTTAAGCGAGGATCAGGGGTTCAGTTCCAGGGTCAACCTGTATACAATGGTTACATGCACATATTCCCATGGTACTGGCTGGTTGCAGAAGGATTATGGCATGAGATCCTATTGAAGAGTACTGGTCTCCTCTCAACCCACTGTGTCTCTCTTTCTCTCATGTTAGAAATAAGTTTAAAATAAAAATGCTCCTCATGAATCCCAAATTTTTCACATTAATGACCACTTGTAAAAGTAAAATGATAGTCCAGCGAGTGGCTTGCCTGATGGATAAGGCAGCTGGATTCCACATTGCTGACTGTGCAGTTCAAGTCCTGGACCCAGTAGATTGAAAAACATGCTGGGGACATATGTGTGCATATCTAAAATCCCAAAAGAAGAAATGAAGGAGAAGAGATTGTGGGTCTCATGAAGGGTGCTTCCTTACTTTCCTTCTCTTTGTGTGTATCTCTCTGGTGAGTGTATATGCCAAATTAAAAAAAAAAAGTAAAATAACTCTTAATAAAGCACAGAGTTATTTCAAGAGAAAAAAAAATAGGAAAAAGGAATGAAGGACATCCCTGTTATAAGAATTTTCTGACAAATGCCTTCAATCTGAGCAAGAACACAGTGACATCTAACTGTCTAAGCCCTGAAGAAACAGTGGAGGGGAGAAGAAAGAATGAGCACCATACCCCACGCTTCATGATTTACTGGAAATGCAACCTCTTAGGGCAAAGATCATGGCACTGCATAGAATTGTCTTACTCAATGACATTCAACATGGTGCCAGAAATCGTACAAGAGCTAGGCCAAATATTTAGTTTACAAAACAACCCATGAACAGCAATGCACCTTGAGTACATTCAGCTTCTATGGAAACAAAATCTCTATATTGTATATTAATGCCACACTGGCCTTTCTTCTCTCTTCCTTAGATTCCTTCTCAGCCACCCCAACTGCAATTGCTGCAAACTACATTACTCTCACAGATGCTCTTCTCTGTCTCCACTCTCCACCTCAAAATCTCAGCAAGATTCCTATCTGTAAACATGATCACCATATACTAGCAGCCCCACCTTCGCCTCTTTTCACTTCCATAGTCATTCATTCAACTGCCAACTAGGCATATTCACTTAAATGTTTCAAATGCAAAATGTACAAAATAGAACTCAAAACTTCATACCCTGCCCAAATCCAAAACAGTTCATCTTCCAATCATCCCCACCTGCAGAAACATAGTGATACAGGTAACAATGTTCTGAGACCCCACCCAGTGGATGTCTGAAACTGCATAAAGGTACTCTACCCTACATGTCCTGGTTTTTCAATCTGATGACGAAGCTGGCTATGAAGGGATTGATGGGTGGATCTCATGTAATACCATGCTAGACAGAGGCATGATTCCTACCCCAGAAGGGACTGAGTGGGATGGTCTAAAATTTTATCATGCTACTCCAAATAGTACACAATTTAAAACTTGTTTCTTTATTTCTGGAAGTTTCTACTTAATATTTTCAGACCACAGAGGACCACAAAGACCTGAAACTGCCAGAAGCAAAACCGTGGATGAGGAAGGACTACTGTCCTATGTAATCAGGGTCTTCCTCACAGCCTCTTTCCTTCCCGCTATACCCCATCCATCGCCAAGTCCTTTCAACTTGCACTTGAACTGCACCCAGACTCTGTCCATGTCTCCCCACTTCTGTCATCGATGCAGTACAAAATGCCATCATCAGAATTTCCACAAGCATTTCCTCCTGACCGGTAACACTGCCTCCTTCCTTTCTTTAATTTCTTTATTTCATCCATGAGCAAAAGAGATAAAGACAAAGGGTAGGGAAGAAAGAGAGAGAGAGCGAGCCACCTTTAACAGAGTCTCCCCATTCCCAGCCAGCCACGAACACAGAGCATTCAGTGTGCATCGAAGATCTTGGGGCACAAACCCCAGACCTTTCCACATGGTCTCAGCATCACAGAGCATTATGCTACCTTCTTAACTAACACAATGCTATTCTCAAGTTTTGAACTTATTAATGTGGTTTTACTCTAAGATCTTAGAGATTTTTACAAAACAAAAAGTGTATGATTCACTGAGGAATTTATCCCCCCATATGTAGGTGGTATATCTATTTTTTTATTTTATTTATTTATTTATTTGGAGAGGTTTTTGATATAGGGCACGTGTGCTCACCAGAAAGACAGAGAGACACAGAGAGATAGAAAGCAAAAAATCACCCGTCAGGGGAGAAGGCCATGCCACAAACCCTTCTCCTCCTTTCTCCTCTCGGGATCTTGGGCACGCACGCACATGCGCCTGGTGTAAGTTTAAGCCACCAGGTCTGACACTTGAACCACGGTCGACTACAGGAGTCCAGTGACATAGCCACTACACTAACTGCTGGTCCCTTGACTTTTATATTTTAAAAGTATTTTGAAAAAATTTAATCTGGAGAAGTAATTCTGGGCCAGTTGGTCACATGATGATTAAGGCAGGTGGAACCTATATGCATGATGTAGGTTTGAGTTCCAGACCCTGTGGCCTGAAAAACATACTGGGCACATGTACATGAATGCCCCCAAAACCCAAAGGCAGAAGGAGAATGGTTTGCAGCATGGCAATCTTCCCTGGGAGGGTGATTTCTTTCTCTTAAGCAAGCACATGCAATATAACAGGGACAGGTAATTCTGAGTATAAAAGAAGTTAAGGGAGAGGAGAGTAGAAGTTAAAAATTAAGAATACAAAATGAGAAATAGCAACCACATGGAAATTATGACCAACTTTTAGATGTAGAATTTTTCATTAATATCAGATCACAGTATTACTAAGTTCACAGCACTGACTACAATAATATTATTCAAAAGCTCTCTTCTATAACTGAGCTATAATAA